ACTTATTCCGGGATAAAATAAGAAAATGACAAAAATGTCTCTTTCAACCCTTTTTATACATTACTTTTTATATTCATGAAGGGCATTTTTGTAAAAAAATAAATTGTTCTTAAAATATTTTGAATACAACAAATCAAACACTCAATAAAAAAAAATCTTATCATAACTTATTCCATCATAACTTGAATTCAAACCAAACGACCCCTGAATATTATTAGAATGAGATAACTTTTCAATGTAATTTTTTATCTTCAAAAAAGACATTCATGTGCCAGTGCATGCTTATATTTTGGTAAAATTGTGTTTTTCAGTCTCTGCGCAAGAAACACTTGGGTTATGGTCACGGCTTGAAGCCAGATGAAGTGTGACGATGGCATATGAATTGGTATACATGTTGCAACATTGAGTTTTCTTGTAATAGGTTGTGATATTTTTTCACTTAAATCTAAGTATTTTACACTTTTTCTACGAAGGTTGTTCTTTGTTATAGTTTAAAATTAATAGTTGAGATCTAATTGTTTAAAGTAAAGTCATAACCATAGTTATTTACTTTCATATATTTGCTTCTTAAATATTTTTGCAATCCATTATATTTTTTCTAAATATATTTAGAAAAATTCTTTACTGCCCTGCATATACATATAAAACTTTTACTAAATATTTTTACTTCTTTGAAAAAATTTACAATAAAGTTAAAACGTTTTTATTATTCTAATAGAGTATTAAGAGCTACAATGTCTATAGAGCAATATGGACTCCATTTAGGGAGTAAGAAAGAATTTAAAGTTGAGTGACAATTTATTTTAATTCTAAAATTAGAAAAAAAAATGTTAGGTCACAATTTTTAATATTTTATTTGACAAATATTATTTGAGAATGGCAAACGATAGGGAAAAAAAATAAAAATCAGCAAAAAAATTACTCAAGTAATTAAGAAAAAAATTCTTTTAAATATATTTAGGAAAAATATAATGTAAATCTAGGATTGTTGGATTGCAAAAATATTTAAGAAGCAAATATATGGAAGCAAATAACTATGGTTAGGACTTTACTTTAATCATTTAGATCTCAATCATTAATTTTAAACTATGACATATGTCTTAATCCAAACTAGAACTTGGGGAAAATGGAGAAAATAGAAATGGAGAGGAGGGATCCTTTTTCTTTTATAAAAGAAATATTACTTGTGAGAGCTAGCACGGGCCACGCCCCTCTAGTATATATATATATATGTGTGTGTGTGTGTGTGTGTGTGTGTGTGTGTATACTATTTAAAAGTTCCCAAAAATGACAAAATCACATAAAACTAACTTAAAAATATTTTGAATTTTATGAGGTCAATTGTTTCAAATCGTTCGGAATTTAAGAAGCTCTATGATTAATTATTATCGGGGAGGGTCAAAATTGGGTGTCAACAGTTCCCAAACGAGCCCTTGGGCCTGGCTGACTATGACACATATGACTCAAAAGAATACATGAAAGCTTTAATAGATGAACATTTAAAAGCTTTAAAGAACTTTTAAAACAACGTCTGAAAATACTTAAATATAAATAGTTAAATGTTTGATAAAATATCTGAGAAAAATATTGGAAACCGTCTAATTTTGCCTGCCCATGAAGCCTCTGCTATCTAAAGATTGGTGTTTCGGGAAATTTCCAATGACACCTCAAAACCCTACTACTATAGAGCAATAAAAATAGAGTTTTTCAAAAGTAGAGAGGTCTCACCAGAAGCTGATGAGTAGATGAAGTAATCTCAATGGAACGCCTATTGATGATCTTAAATACCTGAATCTGCATCATAAAAAGATGCATGTCAAATGACATCAGTTCATTAAATGTATGAGTATGTAATATGACTGAATAAAATGATAATTGGACTAATATTAAACACATATCAAGTAAATTAATATATGAACAAGTATTGAAAATCATTTTTACTTTACAATAAGATATGCAATAAAAACAATATAAGAATACAAAACTTTACTCTATGGGGGGTTTCTCTAACCGTCAACCATTACTATGATCATAACGATGATACAACATTTCACCCATATCTCAAAGGTCATCCTATACTTTAGCCGGAGTAGGATGCTAACTATAACTATGGATCCATCCAATAAACCTTTTTGAGGCAGCGAGGAGTCGACCGTGAAGTGGGTACAATCTTATTCTACGTTGGCTATGTAGTTTTATGGGGCTTCGAGTTAAAAATAGACTCTTACCCATTTCGATGCTCGATACTACTCCCACAATGATCAATATCAATATGCTCAATAGTCCTCTGAGAGAACTTACTTTATATTATTTCACTTTTCTTTACTGAATTAGTTTTTTAGAAAATCAATAATACTCTTTCTCTTTTCAACTGTCAAATAGTACATATGAAATCATTCGTATCTTTCTTTAAAAACTCCTTTCAAAACATGCATTTAAAACATATACTTCTCGACTCAGCCTTTAAGTCTTAAATTGATGTATAAGAAATCTCATATAATGATCTTTATAAACATGACTTTTATAAACAAATGTTCATGTGATATGAAGCATGCCCATCAATTTAGAATTCAATATGCACAAATAGAAATCAAAATCTCAACGGTTAAGAAATTGGAACTCAAAATAAGAAACACAACTGAATTCAAATTTCAAGAAAACTACGGATAGAACTCTAAATATATAATGTTTCACTGACTGAATTGAGATGTAGGGCCCGAGGACGAACTAGTCCATCACTATGAGTAGCCATGCATACCTACAAGAACAAAGTTCTTGAAGAAGTTTGAAGGGAAACTTGATTGGAAGCTTTGAAACCCTAGTTTTTATCTTTTTTGCGGTTTTCTTTTTGAGTTGGGGAGTTGAGAGCAAAAAATTAAAAGAAAATTGAGTACTTGGTGGAATATATTCCCCTAATTGAAGTTAAAACGTAATTGCTTGGGTTTAGAAAAGTGGGGAAAAAAAAGGAAACTCAACTTGAAAAACTTTCAGGGGCCATCTACCGTTCGTAGTTTGATCTACGGACTGTAGATCCCATCCGTGGAATTCATATAAAAATTTTAAGGCTAAAAAGCTCATTCTATGGGCCCAAACTACGACCATAGATGGGTCCGTAGGAATTTGACCCAAAATTTTGACTTTCAGTACTTTTTCTAAGAGTCAACAGTATGGGTCGAAGCTCTTTTTACGACTCGTAGAAGTGATTCGTAGGCTACTGACTCAAAATATTGTGTTGTGGTAGTTTCTGGTAAAATCATCATAACTTTTTACTCCAAATTCAAAATGAGGCAAACTTGGTGGCGTTGGAAAGAGGACTCATAGTCCTTTAATTTGATAGGTCATGGACCACATAATTCATTATGTACTGAGATGTATGATCATCTGAAGTTTACTTAAGTAGAATCTTACATCAAAACTTAATCGGTAAGGAAGCTTTCAACGTAACTTTGTGTCAGGTGATTCTAGTGACCTTAATTCATATCCAAAATCATTCTCACACTAAAGAATTAACTTTAACACCTAAGAACAATTTACAAATCATCCGATACAACCTTATACGCAAATGAAGAATGATTCGTGTCTTAGATGAGAAATTTTCTGGGTGTTCCAACTTTGATATAATTTATAAATATTTTCTTATACTTTTTCACAGCTTTGTGTTATTTTCTTAAGAAACGCTTTAGATAGTTGTATTTTAATAGGACTAAAGAAATATTTGAAGCACAAGTTAATTATATGCATGTTTGTATGAATACTTTATTGAAAAAAATTGAAGTTGAAAAACCTGAATTTAGTTTGATTAGCTTATACATTTAAAAATTTATCGTAAAATTTAATTTGATATTTAATAAATCTGAATCAACCCGGTCCATATACACCCTACCTTCAAGAATGCAACTAAAGTCGACAAAATCTAATTGTTCAAAGTAGCTAACAAGTTTTAAAAAGAAGTATGATCATTTTTATTACCTGCATTTTATTTTATATGACATATTATTTGATAGGATACAAAGTTAAAGTAGGCTTTGGACAATCGGTATGAAATTATGATTTCAAATTAGTACTTGAACATGCGATTTGAGATGATTTCAAATCTCAAATTATCAAAAGCATGATTTGAAATATCAAATCGTGATTTCAATTATTTATTTTAAACGTAAAACTTGTAGAATATAACTTTTCATAGCACACACAACTCCAAATAGTGCTTGAAATGATAAATATTCCTTCATTCGTAATCAAGGATCTCAAATTCCTGATACTTAATTACGGAAGGTCTATAATATGGACTGACATGAATAAGTGGTGGATCCAAAGCTTTAGTTACGAGTTTCCTGAAACCAATAGCCTTTGCTTATATCATTTATATATATATGTGTAGCAATAATGAAAATAAAGGTAATATATATTATTGCATGTCTTACCTATATTTTATCTTTAAAGTTGTATATGTATTGCATATTTTAAATCAATTTTATGTTCTATTTTAAGTATATTGAATATCACTGAGTATATTGTTATTATTGTTTAAATATATTGGATAAACAATCTAGTTTCTTTTATGTTGTAATATGTATAAACTCTGTGCTAATAAAAGAAAATAACTGAATATATTTGATTATTCTTCTACTCAGTCAATTCTATTGTATTGGAGATTGCATCAACTTATCATGTTTTGGATATGAGACTAATGTGATGGTTTATATATAATAATATTTCAATGAAAAAAGCAACTATTGCTCCACGTACAAGTTCAGACATATGTGTATGCTCATTTAAATTACACTAGAATAGTTTGGAGCAAACAATTTCTTAATTAATTGACAGAACATGAATTCAATAGAGTCAGGCATAACAAAATCTATTATAAAAAAGAAAATATAGTATTGCAAAAGAGAATAATAATAATATTATAACCGAAGCAAAAAAAAAAAGATAATAAATTAAATTGGAACAAGATAATATACGAGTAATTAAGAACAATCCTAGTAATTAGTCTTCTATTCTAATCTCTGACCTCTATATATATATATCTTCCTATCTAGAGTCATGTCCTCTGTAGGTTTCAACTGTGTCGTTAATTCCCTCTTTAGATCATTGATTAATCTCCTTATTTTGGCTATCCATTTATCACAGGTTGTAGTAAACAAATGACGCTCTGAAATCCAATAATCACCAAAAGGATTATCATTAACAGTAGTAGAGATGTTGATCAAGTCATTCCCAGGAGTAGTAATTGCATTCTGAATAAAAGGATGACTAATTAGTTCATCCACACTCAATAATCTACTAGGAAAATCACAAAGCAAGCAGTCTGCTAGGAAATTTTGAGCCATATTAGAAACATCATCGAAATACTCTACATCAGGATTATCAAAACCACAAATCATACATTGATAATCGTCTATTTGTTCCTCATACCAAGTAGGCTTTCCGAAGAGCATCTTTGCGACAACGCACCCTACAGAACATATATCGAAAACTTGATGCTCGCGACTTGTTTCTTGTTTGGCTGATCCAAAATCAGCAATTTTTATCAACTTGTTATTCGGATAAATAAGTATGTTACTTAATTCTATATCTCCATGTATAAACCCTTTGTTATGAATGTGACGGATACCCGTCAAGAGTTGATATGCATAGAGTGCTGCCACTGGTTCCGGAATTCTTCCATTCAAAAGTATGAAATCTCGTAAGGTGCCACTAGGGGAGTATTCAAGCAAGAGATTATACGTCCACTTTGCGTATTCGAAGCTTTCGTCTTCCCCAAAACATTGAACAATGTAAGGGCAACCTTTTAATTTGTTCAAAATGTTTCCTTCTTCACGTAGTATAGAGCACTCATCCGTGTCAATTTGTGCAGATTTGACAGCTACAGCTTGTAAATAATTGTTGGTTGCTAAATGTACAGGGCCGTTAAATCCAACCCCAAGAACGTACTGTTTAATCCAACGGTTATCTGTTGTAATCATACTTATAATTCTTTCAATTTGAAATTTAGAATGAATGATGAGAAAAATTGTATAATGATGCGTGCTATATATAACAAGTTGAAAAATTCGTCTTCAACTGAGAAAGGGATTCCTTTTCCTAATTGGAAGACAAATTTGCAATAGAAAGGGTTAAACTTCAATTTAGAATGAATGAATAGAAAAATTGTATAATGATAGGTCCTATATATAACAAGTTGAAAAAATCCTTTTCCTAGATGTAATTGGAATTAAAGACAAATAATGCAATAATCCGATCGCCATTATACTCAACACAATTCTATATCTGTTGCAATAGCTATTGTCTACAAGCTTAGCAATCACACAAAAAACATCTATTTCTACTTTAAAGATTTAAAACTTGACTCACCCTGCGTTTGGAAAGTTTCCACTACTCCTAATTAATTTTAGGAAACTTTGGTAATCCTTTTTCAATACAAAAATGGACAACTATTTGTATATATATATTATATTATATTTTTGCATACTACCTTTATTCATCCACATTACAATAAGCTAGGGTTACTTGTTCATTATTACATTATTGAATTTTTACCAAAGTAAGTCATTATTAAAATTAATTCACCAAAATAATACAGTACGTTTTTTTTGAAATTTTACAAAACTAGTATAAACGTAGTTTTCAGTAACGTTTTAGGTTATTATTTCCAAATTTTATTGTGATTACTTGATTGAATTAGATAGTGTGGTTTTGGACATTGTTCGGAAATGAAAGGCTTAAGTCTTGAATTGACTTTTTGGTTGAATTGAGGCAAGTGATTTCTAAACCTTGTAAAGCTAGTAGAATCATGTATTTCCCTTCATTGTGTGTGTTGGCGAATAATGAGATTGAGGTAATGGGTTCAGTGAATAAAAATGAGATTAATGAAAAAGGCAATGTGTTGATCATAATGCTTGTAAATTGCCTTGTTGTGGACCCTAAATCTATTGATTGATGAAATGTTTTGATGACATTATTGTGGACTTGAATTGCCTGAATTGTTATCTCTTCCTTATGGTGTGAAATTGCTTATTTGCATTGATTTTTTTTTGCACCGTGATGGAACATGTGATAATAAAACCGAAGAGACATAATATATATATATATACACACACATCAACTATATTTTTAAAAAAATAATAAAATTTTAAAAATATATGCATAATGATTGGTACCTGCCTGAAACTTATATCTTAGTCTCATTCAAAGAGGATCCCTATTTCTTCCTAAGTTTTTAGATATTAACAACGGTATTGGAGATTGCACATGTACCATATAGCTCCAGAAGTTCAAACATATATGTGTACCTTACAGAATAGTTTGGAGCAAACATGCTAAAACATAAACTATTTTATAATTAATTGACAGAACATCGATAGAGTCGAGCATAACAAAATCATGTATAGAAATAAAAATACAATAATGTAGAAGAGAATAATAATAATAATATATAATATTAAAGCAGAAACAAAGAAAACAATAGATACTAAATAAAATCGGAGAACAAGATAGTATGTGAGTAACTAAGAACAACCCTGATAAGGGAATCAAACATTGCTCGACTACCTACTAATTAACCTTCTATCCCAATCTTCAATCTCCACATATATATCTTCCTATCTAGAGTCATATCCGCTGTAAGTTGCAAATGTGTCTTTCTTTCCTTTGATCGATCTCCTTATTTTGGTTTTCCATTCCTCAGAAGTTGTAGTAAACAAATGACGCTCTGAAATCCAATTATCACCAAAAAGATTATCGTTAACAGTACTAGAGTGTCTAATCAAGTGTTCTTCATTCTCAGGAGTACTAATTGCATTCTGAATAAAAGGATGATTAATTAGTTCATCCACACTCAATAATCTACCTGTAAAATCACAAAACAAACATTCCGTCACAAAACCTTTAGCCATGTTAGAAACATCAGTTCGTATAAACTCTTCATCAGGCATATCAAGACCACAAATTTGACGTTTATATTTGTTAATCTGTCCCATATACCACGTGGGCTTCCCGGTGAGCATCTTTGCGACAACGCACCCTACAGAACAAATATCAAAAATCTGATGCTTGCAACTTGTTTCTTCTTTGGCAGATCCAAAATCAGCAATTTTTACCAACTTATTGTTCGGATAAATAAGTATATTGGTCAATTTTATATCCCCGTGGATATAACCTTTCTTATGAATGTGACCGATACCCTTCAAGAGTTGATAAGCATAGAGTGCTGCCATTTGTTCTGAAATTTTTCCATTAAAAAGTATAAAATCTAGTAAAGTGCCACTAGAGGCGCATTCAAGCAAGAGATTATACGTCCACTTTGCATATTCGACGCTCTCGTCTTCCCCAAAACATCGAACAATGTAAGGCGAACCTTTTAATTCGTTCAATATTTTTCCTTCTTCTCGTAGCACAGAGTACTCATCCGATCCAATTTGTGCAGATTTGACAGCTACAGCTTGTGAATAATTGTTGGCAGAAGAATGTGTTGCCAAATATACAGGGCCATTTAATCCAACCCCAACAACATACTGTTTTATCCAACGCTTATCTGTTGTAATCATACTTATAATGAATGAATGATGAGAAAAATAGGTCGTATATATAACAAGTTGAAAAATCCGTTTCCAACTCAGAAAGGGATTTTTACAGAGAACAATAAAAGTTGAAAAATCCGTTTCCAACTGAGAAAGGTATTCGTTTTCCTACATGTAATTGGAATTCTTACTTTTGAATAGAGGCAAAGAAGCCATGATGTATACAACTACTAATTGTATCTCGTACGATATCATTGATTTCATACTTGAAAGAAAATCCCAGAGCTCTCAATTTCTTTGATGAAATCTCTGAGGGGATTACTGAATCATGATCTTGCCTGTAAACACAGAGAATTAGACTATAAACTTCATGTGGATTATTTAAGTAGGTAGAAATCGATGGATGGATAACCTCTCTATAGCAGGGTAAGGATACTCTTTTTTAAGGTGATCGATAACTTCAGACATTGCCCAACTCCGAGCACAACATATATATCGTCCTTCTGCTTTAATATTCTCCATGAGGAATATGTGGGCGCCACATATATCCTCTATATGAGCTAATGCTATTGATCCCATTCTTCTGTTCACAGCTGTCAGTATAGCTGACAGTTCAGGATCACCTATAAAATTAAAGGACATGTTTTATATTTAGTGCGTTTCTTAACAAATATATACAAAGTTTAGACCAAAGTTATTGACTTCTGTCAAACCTGTTATTGGTGACAAGAGAACTCGAATGCTTGATGGAACTGTTGGAGTGAGGAATGGACCAGCTATAGTTGGGGTTATTGTTGAAACCAAATCAATGCCATTTTCTTTTGCAAACTGAAATGCTGCATCCTCTGTCAAAACCTTTAGTAGTACATAAACCTATAAAAGTGCATTATAAAATAATCAATAAATAACGTAAAATGAGAGTAGTACTTTTGACATATGTTGCTCAAAAAATGTTGTCAGATCCTTCAAATAATGCATTACTTTTTAAGGATCCGGTAGATGTATAGGAAAAGAGAATTACCCAACCACTTGGTTTTGTGTTCTTAACATGTTGGATAGGTATTTTGCAAGATTCATCGACAAAAGGTCTCCATTTCCCAAAGTTGTCTCTGGCTGTGATTGTACTGATTGATGATGTGAAAACAACTTTTTTTACAGAATCGGATTTCAAGCAGGATTTCAGAACATTCAACGTCCCCTGGATTGCTGGCTCTATCATATTTTCTTGAACATAGCTGTCTTCATCAAGTTAAAATAAAATTATACAATTTCAAATAATTTAGGAGCAAATTTGAAACTAATGATTTAGATAAGCATATATATATTTACCAACGTTTTCTGTGGCTTGTGGGCAGAATTCCATGGGTGCAGCAACATGGAATAGGCCAATGCAACCTCTCATTGCTTCATCAAAGCTTCCTTCTTTTCTTAAATCAGCTTTGAACAATCTTAGCATCTCACTGCCCTCAGCTAACTTCAATAGATGTGATGACTTCTCTGTAATATTGGAAAATTCAACGTAAATATTACCTCCAATCTCAAACTCTTATAAGTTGAGAGTACAAGTAGAGACGAACTCAGAATTTGAATAGAGGGGACACCATTGCTTTAAAGGGAAAAAAACCCCCAAAAACACAGTCCCCTGTCTAGGATCAAACTCGCAGTAACGCGAGATACAGTTGCAGGTTCAATCAGCGCACCAAATGAGTTTTGATATATAATTAAATATATCAAGCTTAACGACTATCTCTATAACAAAACACCTTTTAGCACAATAAATATATACATTAACATAGAGTGTTAAAGTCTTTAACTGTCTTAGTTAATTGTCATTAGATCTAATGTCGCTAAAGACTTTAAAGACATATATAAAGAATGTTAATTGCCGCTAAAAATATATATTTAGAGGCAATTAAACTATTATCGTTAATTAATTACAGCTAAAGATCATTTTTAATATAATAATCTATATATATATTAAAAGTTATCAGATGCATGTGCACCCTCACACCACCAGATGGGTCCGCCTCTCATTACAAGGTAGTTTGGAGAGTTATGAAGGTATATTATAAGAATGGAAGAAGTTGTTTGCAACAAATTTGTAATGTTTAAGAAAAAAATGATAAATTGGACTGAATTTCAACATGTTTAACATGTATGTAAGAATTTAATACACACACTACTGCCACATACTGTTTATCTAGATCAATATTGGCATGCTATTTTTTTTGTATGAAATTTGAAAAAAGTATTTTTTATTATACAAAGTAAAAGATAATATTTGACAATTGAATTTCAAAGTTCAACTCTGAAAATAGGTCGTAAACTATGTCTTTGGCCCACAAGTTTTTTATATAATACTCATTCCGTTTCTTTTTATATGTCATTCGTTTCTATAAATAGTTGATTCATAGTAATACTTATCGTTTCATAAAATTAATATATAA